TCAGAATATTGCTCTTTGATATTTCTAAAAACCTGTCAGACATTACCTATAACAAACCGAGAGGATGAAATTCTCACACAGCAGTCAGGATACTTAGCACCTTCTCTAGACTACCTCTGTCTCCCTCATTACCACAGAGTGTGAAAACGCCTGTATCTGTGATTAATTTAAACGCTTAAACATTTCACTGGACCCAGATATTAAAGTAGCAGTTTAGGAAAAGCGCTAAAAACTTGCAACACTTTGCAGGTCTGTATAACAGAATGATGAATTAGTCTAGCTGTGTCCATCTGTCTGTGAGAATGGATTTGTGTAGTGCCCTCTGTTGAAACTCACCGGTATGACGCTCGAAGTTCACAGTGAAACACACAATGAGATCAAGTCCTGAATCAGCAGGACCAAATACCATCCTGTCCTTCCTCCTTAGGCTCTGTTCACTGGTATTTCCATCTCATCTCAGTGACCTTTACCTGTTAGCTCTGGTATCAAAGTGTCCTCAAACACACACACACACACACACACGAGAGAGATAGATAGATAGCTATAGACAGACAAATGATAGATAGATACATAGATAGATAGATAGATAGAAATATATGTTTTTGTTTGGAAAATTCTTTGGCACAATTACAATATGGAGTTTACTCTGGGCCGTTCACCCTTCTCTCAGATCACTTCTGTTCACACACACACACACACACACACAAAATCAAATTGATTATTACACAGTGCAGTGGATCCTCTATTACTACCAATGTTCTGGGGACCGTGTCCTTTTGAAGCATAGCTAGAAATGCATTCTTTCTCTCATGTTGGTACGGCCATGAAGCTCCAGACTCTGGCAGCTCTTTTTCACAGTGACGGCGCGATCCGTGGCTGTTTTTAGAGCTAGGGGAGGTGCAGGCCGCTCGAATCCATTAAAGAGAAGGTGCTGGGAACTCTAATTCATTTGTCACTTTAGCCTGGAAGTTCCAAATGTCAGACACAACGATTTCTCAGCACACATCCCCTCCTGCTCAGTGAAGACAGAGGCGAGATATTGTATCGAACGATGGCTGGCAACAAATACGAAGCTCTGAGCTAATGTTTCGGTTTATTACAGCTGTCCTGATAAATGACGTCCGCCACTGAAGTTTCAGTCCGTCGCACAAGATCCCGCAGTAACACCAGACCTAATTTCTTGCTAAAATGTACACTGACAGAAGACACAATAACGCTGAATTTACCTTTTTGAACATACTTGTTGCTTAGGTGATGGAGTGAATTTCCATTGACATCATTTGGCAGATGCTTTCACCCAAAGCAAATTTACATTGATTTCAAAGTATGCATTTTATCAGTTCAGAGGAATCAAACCCATGACCTATATATATATAGTCTTGAGATAGTCTTAAAGATACAGCAGCAGAAATAGCTAATTTAAAGGGATAGTTCACCCAAAAATTTAAATTCTCTCATCATTTACTCACTTTTATGTCATTCCAAACCTATATGACTTTCTTTCTTCTGTGGAACATAAAAGAAGATATTTTGAG